TTTCATGGAATATCCAGTTGATTGGTCTAATAATGTGTTCAATGCTGTTGTTCTACCTTCTAACTTGTTGCTTACTGACGGGGTTCTGAAAAAGTTTTCAAGAAGCTATTCAAGGTACAGTTGGTTTCTATTTACCTGGAGAACCAGACAAAGGAGGAAAGTCAAGAACAGGAGCAAGACATGGAAAGTGTGGCTAACTGGCTCCATGAACAGCTGGCTCCTTTGCTGTGAGACCAAAAAACTGGATCACTCTCTCATCTACAATCACTGAATATTTGATCAAAGATTCCTTAAAAGAATCCTGATCAAAAGAGGAAAAGTGCAGAACAGACTATCAAATTCTCATAGATTTCAGACTTTCTGGGGCCATGGAAACTGTTGCTTAAAATTATCTTTAAACCTGAAATCAAAAATCGCTTAAGTCAACATCTTAAAACCAAACAATAGTTCAGCTTAACTAATAAAGAATGCCTGCCTTGAGCATTGTGCTCCTTTATTATCTATAGGACATAGGACAGAGCTTCAAAGAGTTTGTGGAAAAATGGAACTAAAAGATAACAGAATTTTTCCACGAACTTAACTGAATCCCCTTCACACAGAATCAATTGAGAAGTGCAACTCAAAAGATTAGTTAAGAAACTTAGAGGGCTGTGAGTTTCTGTTAATGGGGGAGGAACAATACAGAAAGGGCGGGGAGAAGGGCTGCACAACTTCAAGAATGTAATCAGTGTCATTAAATTGTACATATTGAGATTATTGAATGTATGTGCTCAGCTGTGCATAGACCAACACAACAAATTAAACTATTTTGAATAATTTAGCTACTGTACATTTACTGAGTCAGAATCGACGGCACTTAACAACAACAACATTTGGTGTCTTAGTTGTCTAGGTAGTGAGTGCTGTTGTAATAGAAATACCACAGTGGATGGCACTGACAACCAGAAACTGATTCTCTCACAGTTTAGGAGGCTGGAAGTCCAAATTCAGAGTGCTGGCTCCAGAGACAGGCTTTCCCTTAGTCACTTGTGGGCAAAATGGTCCTTATTTCCTTTCAGCATCTGTAGGGCCAGTATTCTTTGGAGATCTCCATACATCTTGGCATCAATCTTCCCCTGGATCTAGGACTTCACAGTGCAGGGACTCCAGGTCCAAAGAAAGCACTCCATTCCAGCTTTTCTATCTTGTTGGTAGTAGGTCCCTCTTCTCTGCTCACTTTTCTCTTCTTTTATATCTCAAAAGAGACTAATTCAAGATACAACCTACTCCTGCAATCTGTATTAAGCTTTATGAACATCACAGAAGTGAGGATTTATAACACATGCTATAATGATATCAGATCAGTTAATCACATCAGAGGGCATCATATTAGAACTCACCATGAGGGTGTTAACTACACCTAAACTGCGAAACCACTGAGAATCCTGACCTAGCCAAGTACTGCGAAACCACTGAGAATCCTGACCTAGCCAAGTTGACACAAAAACTCACTCATCACATTTGGTGTTTATGCTCACAAAATCTTTTTACTAGTCCTCAGCTGGTAAAAATTGAAAAGGAAAGGCATATATGACTAACTTCATGATACTCACTTGGGGTGAGTTATGATACAAGAAGAGTAGAAAAATACAAATTTTATGACATTTCATATTAAGCCAGATTCCATGTCAGGACATTTTTTGTTTGGATGAATGAAAGGACTTGGTCACAACTTCATGAATTTCATATAAAGAGTTCAAGCATGAAACAAACTGCCTTTTGACCCATTATAACACAGTAAAGATACCCCCCCGCCCCAAGTTAAAAGTCTCCAGTGGTTATAGTATTTTAGGTTTTGAGGTGGTGGTGGTAGTTATGTGCCGTGGAGTTGGTGCCAACTCATAGCGACCCTGCACAGGGTTTCCGAGGCTGTAAATCTTTACGGGAGCAGAAAGCCTCATCTTTCTCCCATGGAACAGCTGGTAGTTTCGAACTGCTGACCTTAGGTTTGCAGCCCAATTCATAACCACTACGCTACCAGAGCTCCTTTAGGTTGTGAGACAATGAATTAAAAATAATTTAACATACAGCTAGATAATGAGATGACTACATGAATCACTGCAAAAAGTGAATATATGGATAATATAGAAAGAATAAAGTACATTTGATACTTCCTTTTCAACTATTACTTTGGATGTTATCACTCTTGGTAAAATCATCAACGATGAACATAAGCAGATGACAGTACCGCCAGCAGAAGAAAGTCCATGCTGATAACCTAGATTTGCTGATTCTAAAACTACATCTTACAGTTCATACAATTCACTCAAGGTCCCACATGGGCACTATGACTTGTGTCCTTGTACTGTAGTAATACTAGGGGCTGTCCCAGATACGTTCTGATTAAAAAGACGAGATACAAGTCTGTTTTAGGATTTCAGGCAACTGTGACTTCTTTTAAAACCCGAGAATAAACCACTCACATTGTGAGCTAATCTAGTTGTATGGGTTAACTTAACAGTCCCCGTTTGAAAAGCTTCACCAATAGACACAAAGTACTGAGGGCTGATATTTATCCTTCTTCATCACTGCTGCTCCAGGCATCTTCAAATGCTGGGTTTAACTGTGATTTGGCTGTAGCCTAAAAATAGAAGAAGAGAAAAAACATTTTATACTTTCTACCTCATAGTTTTAGGATTACAATATATTTAGAAAATGTATCAAATAACTCAAAATTCAATTATTATGAAAAAAACTGGGTAATGTAATCCTGGCTGCTGGGTTTGAACTACCGACCTTGCAGTCAGCAGTCTAGTGCTTATCCTCCAGCACCACACCAGGATTCCCAGTCTCCTTAAGTAGAAATAAATTCCCCTTTTACCTTAGGTATAAGAGTAAACACACTTGAGAGTTTATCTTCGCTGAAGAGGAAGTGATTGTCAATCCAAGGATGAAGTTAAAGGAAATGTAAGAATAACTCTGTTTTGAAGAGTCTGATATTTGTAGAAATCACAAATTTGTTCCAGATAACAAAGCAGGATTTAGATTCAAATGTAGGTTTACCTTAAACTAAAATCTGTGTCTGTATGTTTTTAACTATGCTACTTTGCCTCGCTGGGTAAAGGGAGACTATTGTTGTTGTTAAGTACCGTGGAGTCGGTTCCGACTCATAGTGACCCTGCACAGGGTTTCCGAGGCTGTAAATATTTATAGGAGCAGAACGCCTCATCTTTCTCCCGTGAAACTGCTGGTAGTTTTGAACTGCCAGCCTTGAGGTTAGCAGCCCGATCCATAACCACTACGCTACGCTACCAGAGCTCCTTAAAGGTAAACTGGAGAGTACTTATTTAATTAGTGAGGTGAAACGATTTTAAAAGATGAAATCAACAGTAAATATACATGTACTGAATATGGTCTTGTACACCATGATTAAGCACTGCACTTTGACCACCTGCATATAAGCAAGTACGTACTAATTAGTGTTACGTGACATATTTGTTAATTCCCCATAAATACTAGTAAACCATGAATATTCTCTCCAAAAAAATCCTACTGGAATCTGTATCATGATTATTTTTGTTCTACCTATATTCACAGAGCCTGCAAATTGAAGTTTCTGAAATAATCTTGGCACATACCATTTTATATTAACATGAGAATGATGGAGATCTGAAAGTTAGAATATACAAATAGTGTATTTCAAAAGATAAGGTTTCATGGGCTCTAAAACTTAGATATAAGGCTCAACTTTTTTTGTTTGTAACCCTAATTGATTTTCCACTTGTTTTGCTTAATTTCTCATATACAAAAAGTCTGCTAGATGAGGAGTTAAATCTATAACTATATAATTAGGGAGTAAGCCATCAGAATAATGGACTATGTTCATAAATTAAGAAATTTAATTTTCTTCTAATATTCTTTGCTACATACAGGTAATAAGCAGATTTAGTTTTAATCTATTTTTCTCATATTCATTTGGTAAAGATCATCATACTATTGAATGTGGCCTACAGAGCTATAATGTGAATTTAATATAGACAGTAATTCCTAAGCAGATAAACTGAGTGATTGAACAATAATGAAAAGTGCTAAACCAAATGATATGACCATCTTAGCCTCTCTAGAGAAGATTCAATCATTTAAAGCAGCTGTATGTTAAAAGTGATGTAACCATAATAAACCAATTAGATATGTGATGAATTCTGGAAGTATTCATATGGAATTAGGCCTGCTGCTTAAAATTTTATCAACATATGTTTTTTTCCTCTCTCTCTTTCATTTGGATTAGGGCCAAAATAAGATAATGCACAGGCTTTGCACTGTAGTAAGTCACTGTTGTTGTTTTAAGTGTCTTTGAGTCTGCTCCAATTCACTGTGACCTTGTATAAGGTTTTCAAGACTTAACAATTTTTGAGGGTGCAGCAAGTCATGTTGTTGTTAACTGCTATTGAGTCAATTGTGACTCATAGCGACCCTATACAGGGGTTCCAAGAAGCAGCTGATGGGTCTGGACTACTGACCTTGTGGTTTGCAGTCCAGTGCTTACCCTATAGTGCCACACCAGGACTCAAGTAAGTCATAGTAGTTGCAAATGAAGGTATGAAATATATTTTGTCAATAGCTGTTAAATGCTATCAACCTCCTTATAAAAAATCATTTCAAAGTGTTTTTTTTTTTGACATAGTCTCATTTTCATAAAGGACTAAATATATAAAAAGGATTTTTAGAATTTCAAATTAGCTGTATCAATTTACCTTTTCCACCTTCATTTAAAATACGTTAATTTTACTATGACTTGGTTAAAATTAACCTGTTTCTAACTACCTTATTTATATTTTCCAACCTTAAAAAATTATGTAAATATTCTTTATTAGAGCTTAGAATTTTCTATCTGAGAAATTAAGATATATTAGGATTCATTAAAATGCTTAGTAAAATAGTTGTTGGCAGGAAAGTTATCATCCTAGAGAGTCTTTACGCTACTTGTTGTTAAGTGCCATAGAGTTTGTTCCGATTTGTAGTGACTCTGTACAGGGTTTCTGAGGAACGGCTGGTGAGTTTGAACTGCTGACCTTGCCTTTCAAACAGCCCTTGTGTCCAGTGCATAATTCTGCAGCTCTACATCACTACTGCTTGACCAAAAGAAACAAAACAAAATAAAAACTATGTAGAGTCAAAGATTATGTCTTAATCATCTTTGTTTACAAATATCAAACAAAACAAAACAAATCCCCACAGTGACCATGTACAAGGTTTATAAGACTGTAAAGCTTTATATTTATGCCAAGAAATTTGGAAGACAGCTACTTGGTCAACTGACTGGAAGAGACCCATATTTGTGACAATTCCAAAGACAGGTGACCCAACGGAATGTGGAAATCACTGGACAGTATCATTAATGTCACATGTAAGTAATATCTTCCTCAAGATAATTTAAAAATGGCTGTAACAGTACATTGACAGGAAACTGCCAGAGGTTCAAGGTGGATTAGAAAGAGGATGTGGAATGAGGGATATCACTGCTAATGTCAGATGAATCTTGGCTGAAAGCAGAGAATACCAGAAAGATGTTTACCTGTA